GCTAGGTAGTCTTGTACCATTAATTTTAGGGGATTTATATGCTATATGTTTTCTGATTTAGGCCTCATTTGTTTTCATATACGTTTGATTTCAATATACGTTTGATAATTAAGATGTTTTTTTTAGATCTGAACATTGAATAAATAAAACTATTTGGTCTTTAGCATTTAATGTATATTTATTTATTTGTTAGAATAATAAATGCATAATTCAAATAAGAAAAATAATACCAGAAAAAAAATGAATATTTATGTTCCCTAGCGACGATGGAGATAGATTTTTGCGGTAGTGGTAATAGTTGGTGTTAGTGATTGTTAATGGTGGTCGAGACGATAGTTATGATTGTAGAGGTGGTGGGTGTTGTATTGACTGACGTGATGGTTAGCAGATGATAGTGATGTTAGTGATTGTAGAAGAGAAGTTTGTTAATGTTAGTAGTTGATAAAAATTATTTACACGAAAATGCCTTTAAATGGTATCAGGTCTCATTTGTTTTCATTTTGAATTTGAATGCACACATCTGAATATTAAATAGTTGAAGATTGATTACTTCTCAACATTTTAATATATAAAATTTGTCTTTGTTCAAAAGGTAATAAATATAAAATCAAAATAAATTATAAAACTAATATAATATCATATCAATGAAATATTTTTAAATTCTATATAGCAATTGGTGCTAGTGATGACTAATAATGATGGTTATGGATAATAACTACATGATATAATAGTTGATAGCTAATGATATGAACTATTACGATTAATAATGATGGTTAGCAACATATAAACACTAAACATCTTCATAATCCTATCATACAATATTTACTTTCTTATAATTTTCTAACTTCCTTTGCAATTATTGTTACCCTGCAGACTTTTCCTGATGAATTTTTGAAGCATCTGAAGGGACATGATCAGTATGAACATGCAATATTGAGATGGGCTAGTAAGTGATAACGAAGTCAGAAATTTTATAAAAAATATTCATAATTTGATGTGTCGGTATTTATATTACTGTCTATTTTTATCTTTGTATTCATTTAAGAAATCTCTCTTATTAGGAGATCTATTTTTATGGTTGAGAATGTTGTATTTCAATAGCATTTTTTTTTTACAATTAATGAAATAAAATAATAAATCTATCTTGATTTTTTAAAATGAACGAGTAAAAAAAAAAAAAAAGTTTTTCAATATTGAGTAAGTAAAAGGAAACCGAGGAAGTATGTAAGAATAACAAGTTATATTTTTTTTTTTACCTATGTATAATTTTTCTTATAACTAACTATCCTTCATTCTTTATGATTACGTGATTGCAGATAAAAATTGGCCGGTGAAATTGAACGGTGTGAGACTAGAAGACGGTCTTGAAAAGTTTGTAGAGCAAAATAACTTGGAGGAGGGAGAAATATTGTCAATCGAATACGAAGGAAATATGAAATTTGAAGCTATCAGGTTTGATCCGTCTAAACAATGTGAGATATTAGAAGTACAACCAAGGGCACCAAAAGTTGTGAAGAGTTCTGACGAATCTAAATCCAAAGGTAAAAGTTCTATAAGATAAAGGTGAAAAATGATATTTGAAAAAAAAAAAAAAAAGAAGTTAAACAAGAGTATATAGTGTGTTATTTATTGCTTATTAGCTTCATGCAATATTTTTTATATCGTCGTTAGATAATTATCTTGAAAAACATACTACTCATTAGTAATATGATTAATTTAAAACTAAACTTAATATTACATATTAAAGTTCACTAATAATTTTATTTAAATTTTACCATGCAGGAGCTGCTACACAGAAGCATTTAGGTCATCCCTATTTTGTATGTACCATTAGACCATATTCTTTTAAATATGGTTACTTGGTAAGTCCAATTTTATTTATTTTTTAAATTTACATACTTTAATTGTGTTACAAAAGTATTGTACTATCACTATATTATTGTATTAATATGTTTATTAATTGTTTCAGTGTCTTCCTCTAGACTTTGTAACGAAAAACAATCTCCGTCACAAGATAGGGGATTTGATTATTAGAGATGAAAAACAGAGATCGTGGAATCTAAGACTAAATTCTTTTAGTTCGAAACGATTTGTTCTTAATGGTGGATGGCCTGAATTTAGTAATGCAAATGATATAAAGGAGGGAGATGAAGTAATGTTTGAGATTGTTTCTAATGAAGAGAAACAAATATGGCAATTCAAGAGTAAGTTTTTTTTTTTTTTTCATTTAAAGTAATTACCTTATTTTTCCAATAATTTTTATTAATTGCAATAGTAGAATATTGTCACATCAATTAAATATAGTGAGTGATTTTAATTAGTCAATCTCCCCTTATAGAAAATTCTGAATCCAATTTCAGAAGTTCGTACTGAGAAGCTTTTTGGTAATTAACATTTTTGTATTAACTGTGGTTTTTTTTAAATAATAGACTACTGACACGTCAATTAAATTATAGAAAATATCATCTAAATATTACGAGTGATTTTGATTTTAATTATGTTACAGAAAAAGCAAGTAACAACGTCAAGTCATCTCTCCTCGTAGAGCCCCCGAAAGTCAAGTCGCGGAAACCTTCTCAAAGACGAGATATTAAAGCTATGATGGTAGACGTTGTTCACATGCCTGTTGGTAATTCTCATTTGAATTTTGGTGTGCTTTTTGCAATTATAAATAGTCGATGCATGAAAAAACAATATCTAAATCTTGTGACTAATTCTAAATTGTTAACCATGTAACAGATAAACTAATCCATAAGAACAAGTCATCTTTCGTTGCAAAGACCCCAAAATCGAAGTCGAGGGAACTTCGTCAAAGACAGGAGCTTGAAGATCAGACTTTAAAAGCTTTTCCTCACAAGTCTTTTGGTAATCATCTCATCTTATATTCAATATGATTTTAGAAACAACAAAATACTGTTTAGTCAATCTAAAATTTTTTCCTTAAAGAAAAACCTATTTAGGGTAAGAAATTTAGGGCAAATAAAATCCAACAGTTTTGCTCTTTGCAATAATAGATTATTGTCGCGTTTGTTAAGTGATTGAACATATCACTTGAATGTAGTAAGTGATTTTTAACTTTTAACTATGTAACAGATGAATCAAACCACAACATCAAGTCCGCTCCCCTTGCTAAGACCCCTAAACCTAAGTCGAGGAGACCTGCTGAAAGAGATGATTTTGAAGATCGATCGTTAGAAGCTGTTACTCACAAGCCCAATGGTAAATTTTTTATTTTGGTTTGATTTTAGCAGCAATATAATACAATCATATTAGTTATGTGATTGTACATATCATTTGAAATGTATCGAATAATTTTAACATTTTGGACAAGTCAAATCACAAAAATTTCAACTCGTCACCCCTTGCAGAGCCCTCTAAGTTAAAGTTGGGGGGGCTTCATCAAAGACAGGAATTTGAAGAAGGAACATTTGAAGCTGCTACTCACAAGTCTCTTGGTAATTTTCATTTGTATTTAGTTTGATTATAACATCAAATTAAGTTATGAAAATATTATCTAAATATCGCGAGTTATATTAACTTTTAAATTGTGTAACAGATAAACCAACTCACAAAAAACTCAAGTCAACGCCCCTCGCGGAGCCCTCTCAATCCAAGCCGCGAGAACTTCCTCAAAAACAGAATTTTGAAGATCAGACGACAAATGTTGCTACTCAAAAGCCTCATGGTAATTTTTCATTTCATATACAATGTGATTTTTTTACAATAACAATAATAATGTCAAGTTATAGAAAATATTATCTAAATATTGCGAGTTATATTAACTTTTAAATTATGTAACAGACGAATCAAACTACTACACCACTTCATCAAAAGAGGCAACTCCCCTTAAAGATGATCCTCACAAATCTAGTGACAATCCTTGTATTTTGATCAATGTTAATCCCTATTGCCTCGTGACCGATACCTTGGTAAGTTCGAAAAAAAAAAAAAAAAACTTCAATTTTTTTTTCATGTAAGAAATATGAAGTATATACAACGTTTGATTTTGATTTATTCGTAAACTATTTCAGTTAATCCCCGAAAAATTTGCATTGGCAAATGATCTCTTCAGAATCAAGAAGTGTGATTTGATTATCAGAGATGATAACGATAGGTCGTGGAATGTTACATTACGCGAACATAACAATTATGTTTTTATTAAAGATGGATGGAAAAAAATTCGCGATACATATTACATAAAGGAGGGAGATCAGATAATGTTTGAGATTGTTACTGGTGGAGATAAACCAATATGGAAATTTCATGGTAAGTTTTCTTATGACTAAATTTTTTGTATTTATGTTATTGAATTTTTCTAACAAATATTATTTTTACACTAATTTTTTTCTTTTTTTTTGCAGGCAAAATTTCAAAAGAATTTGTAAAGATGATTCAACAGAATGGACTTGAACAGTGATTGAAGTTGTCTATGATGGAAAAGAAAAATCAACAATGAAGCAAATTGAACACCCCCCCCCCCCTCCTCTTATATTTTGGGTTTGCAATGACTATAAACTATTTTAATTTTTTTGGAATAATTCGATGAGTTTAGTAAATTATATGCAGACAATGAATAGACATTATTTGTGGCATTGAAGAATTATTTTTGATTTCGATATGATGATGTAGAAAACCTTATATACTATATGCAGACAATGAAAAGACATTATTTGTGGCATTGAAGAATTATTTATGATTTCGATATGATGCTATAGAAAATCTTATATATTATATTATGCAGACAATGAATGGACGTTATTTGTGGCATTGAAGAACTATTTCTGATTTCGATATGATAATGTAGAAAATCTTATATGCTATGTAAGGTGCACAAAATTTGAACTGGTTTAATTTCTTAAAAAGGAGAGAAATATATCAGCGAACTAAGTAAAAAAGAGAGAAATCATCGTAAAAAGCTTTATCTTCGTTCTTTCTAAAAAAAAATAAAAATTCAATCATACAATATAAATATCATATAACCATGAAGCAAAATTTACTAATTTGACTAAAACAGATTCGCAAAAAACACTTGTCACTTACAATTATGATTTTATTAAGCCATATTAAAAATATTGAGATTTTTTTTTTTTTTATGATACAACTCAAACGATCCCTGATTCAGAATTTAAATTATACAACGACGATCGTTGCCAAAACAACAAATAAACCAAAGGAAACTGACAATTTTGTAGCAGATGATGGTGGTGGGGCCTGATCAGCGGGAGGTGTGTCAGCGTCAGGTGCAGATGACGGTGCGTCCTGAGAAGGAGCAGGGGCCTCTGCTTCTTCAGCGGGGGCCTCTGCTTCTTCCTCAGCGGGGGCCTCTGCTTCTTCAGGGGCCTCTGCTACCGGTGATTTTTTAGGCGTGTGTGCCTTTGGTGGTGGAGCTGAAATCGGTGCCATTGTTCCATCGAGACCAGGCGTAACAATAGGTTGAGAAATTCCAAGAATCGAGATATTGTAAGGCTGATTCATAACGGATTTCTCAAGTTTTGAATCTCTTTGAGCACCAACTACAGCTGAACCAAACACGAAACTACCATCTTTAGCAGTAACATTTAGGAAACCTTGATCATACGCTGCTTTACCAGATTGTTGAAACATTGTCGTCATCTTCGCTGTTTTGTCCTTCATCTTCTGAAGTTTCATTGGATCGTAGTAATCCAATACGACATGTGTAGCCAACACTCTCTTAAGAACATCATCTGATTTCGATGTAAGATCACCAACTGCACCATTTGGTACAGCTAAAAGTGTAATTGTACCCCTCGAATTAATATCGCTAGCTAAGCCAGATTTCGATAGAAGTTCATTGAATGTACTGTAATCGGAATATTGACCGAGGATTTTTGTGATATTAAAGGCTGAGGCAGAGGACGCGAACAAGATTAAGAATGAACATAGCAAAGGAATAGTTGAGCGACTCATTTTTGCTGGTGTTCTTTTTTCCGATTTTTCTTAAAAAAACCAGCAAAAATGAGAGATTTATTGTTTATTAAGAGAAAAAAACGAACTCCGACTTGCAAAATATTTGAAGAAAATTGAGTAATTTATATAGTGAAGGGATGTTAAAGGTTGTGGATGAGAGTAATTTGTTCTGTTACTTACAAGTGAATGGACGCATGAATAGCAGAGTCATAGGAAGAGAAAATATCGGTTAAAATATTTTATATCGTGACTATTCATTGTTCTGTTTATCGATCTAAACTATTCATTTACTAGTGCACCACTCAATCTCTTCTAGCAATGGGCGCTTTTAGATAGTATTAGATAAATTTTAAGAATTATAAACGTAATATATCAAGTTTTGTCGATGATCACGGGTTTATTTGATCCTTTTCTTATACATGAATTTTGATTTTGTTTCCTTTGTATTAAAATACTCCTCGATATTGGTTAGTCAAATATTTTTTTCAGTTGACTATAGACGCGTGTAGGCAAACTCAACATGTAAAATGGCTCTTAAATGTCCAATATATGTCCAAAAGTGGTGAGGTTTCAATTACTTCTCTCCAAACTCCTTACAAAGGGTTCCTTAAAGTTCCGCAAAAAAATCAATTAGAAATCATATCACCAAAATAATAATGGCTAAAATATATCAGAAACTGAGAAACTCGTTAAATTCTTGTAAAATGGCTCTTTAATGTCCAAAATATGTCTGAAAAAATTGTGTGTCTTCACATATCGTTGTGAGTTTGGGGACTGATGGAATTCAGCTTTTAGTCTGTTAGTCCATTATTATTTTGGCGATATGATTTTCGAATGAATTTTTCTTAGGAAGGTTTATCTGTAGAACCCATTATAGGTAGAGGGGGGAGCAATACGTACATTCTCACCGTTTTAAATGTGATTTTTGGGCATTTATGGGGTAATTTTCAGGAATTAGGCGATTTTCTAAATTTTTCGTTTGTGTTAATCCATGAATAATTTGGTGATATGGCTTCTAGACTAACTTTTTTCCGGAACCTTCATGGAACCCTTCCTAGGGAGTCAGAGAACAATGCATACATTCTCACCATTTTTATAATGATTTTTGGGCATTTAATGGAAATTTATAGATATAGGTGATTTTCTTGTCTTTTCGTGTAGCCATGAATATTTTGGTGATATGGCTTCTAAATAATTTTTTTTGAAGAACCTTTATGAAACCCTTCGTAAGGTCATAGTTGTCGGCTGCCACCAAGTTAAAAGTCATGTTTATATAATATGTCTTACAAGAATTAGGCGATTTTCTCAATTTTCGCGTATGTTAGCCCATGAATAGTTTGGTGATATGACTTTCAGAAGATCTTTTTGTGAAACCTTTATGAAAAATCCCATCCCTCCCCTGTAGGAAGTAGCGGGAGCAGTACGTACAATCTCACCATTTCTTGAGTGACTTTTGGGCATTTAGGGGCTGATTTTACAGAAATTAGGTGATTTTCTCGATTTTTCGTATGTGTTCGTCCACGAATTTTTTAGTTATATGGCTCCCGAATGATTTTTTTGGGAAACCTTTATGGAACCCTCTGTAAGTAGTTGGAGGAGCAGTACACACAGTCTCACCATTTTTAGAGTGATATTTGGGCATTTAGAGACCAATTTACCAAAAATTAAATGATTTTCTCAATTTTTTGTGTGTGCTAGATAGCCATAAATATTTTGGTAATACATGGCTTCCATACGAATTTCTTACGAAACCCTTATGAAAACAAGGAATATTTTTCATATTGATAAAGGTATTTTTGAGCCAAAAATATCATATACGATAAAATCGTCTCATTTTGATTAGTTCAAAGAGTACTCCATTTTACAATTAACTTTTGTCAATTCAAAATATGACCACTATTTTTGTCATTCTAATTTTAAACAAAATATAATATACATTAAATTTTTTATCTTCTTTTATTTTTATTTTTTTGATAATGACTGATTCTCATGCATGCATGCATGCATGCAATTGTAAGGAATAGAGACATTCACTCCAATTCACAAACTCAACAACCCTTCACCTCCACAAATTCACTATATATAAATCTCAATATTCTTCTACTTTCACAAGTCAAAGTTGGTTGTTCTATCTAGGAAGAAACATAATCAAAAAATACAAAAAAATTTAAAAAAATTTAAAAAAATCTCATTTTTGCTAGTTTACAAAATTACATTTTGCTCTATTATTCTTCCCTCTTTTTTTTTGAACTCCCTTTCTTTGGCTTGAAAAAAAAATTTCGGCAAAAATGAATCGTTCAATTATTCCTCTCCTTTGTTCCTTCCTCTTCCTCTCCGCCTCCTCGGCCTCCGCCTTTAATGTCACGAAAATCCTTAGCCAATATCCCGATTACACCAATTTCAATGACTTGATATCAAAAACTGGCTTAGCTAGTGAAATTAACGCGAAGTCAACAATCACACTCTTAGCTATCCCTAATGGTGCAATTGGTGATCTTACCTCGAAACCAAACGATGTTGTCAAGAAGATCTTGACAACACACGTCGTTTTGGACTACTACGACACGATGAAACTTCAAAAATTGAAGGACAAGACTAGTAAATTAACAACCATGTTTCAAGAATCTGGTAAAGCATCAAATGATCAAGGATTCTTGAATGTTACTGCTAAAGACAACACGTTCGTGTTTGGATCAGCTGTTAAGGACGCTCAACGCGATTCAAGACTAGAGAAATCCGTCATGAATCAGCCTTACAACATCTCAATTCTTGGTATTTCTCAACCCATTGTCACACCTGGTATTGATTCACCACTTTCACCATCATCAGCACCATCACCAAAGGCGAATACGCCTAAAAGTTCTCCACCAAAAGCAGAGTCCCCTGCTGAAGAGGAAGCAGAGGCCCCTACTAAGGATGCCGATTCGCCGTCCGCTGATTCACCAGCAGCTGATGCTCAAGCACCATCATCATCATCTGCTGACAAATTGAAGATTTCTTTTGGTTTCTTTGTTGTTTTAGCATCAATGGTTGCACTCTATTGAAAAATAAGTCAAAGAGTTCGAGTTCGAGTTCGATTTCTCAGATGATCACTCAATCATGTCATTTTGCTGGTTGAAAAATATCAAAACGGTTTTCTCAGATAATAACTATTAGTTGATCATATGAGAAATCGATTCCTATTAAAAAGGATATTAAAACTAATATTATGATTTTCCAAAATATAGAAAGAAGGATATGTTTATTATTAAAATGATTCTCTTTAAAAGGCTTAAAATGGTCCATTATCAAAGTCAAATTTGTTTTTTTTTTCCACATGAAGCACTAATAGTTCTCGAGATTTATAATACCGGTGGTTTTTTGGTTCATCCTCATACTATTGTCTTTTTTAGAGGTTCATCAGATAGATTTCGTGTGCAATACAACAAGAATTTTCATGCAACGTCATTTGTTAACGATAAATTGATATAGTTCAATAAATAAAGATAAATTTTTAATTTAACTGTAATAATACTTATATTGAATCAGGTATTTTTATTCTGATCTTCTCTCAAATGAAGTTATTAATTATATTACAAACATAAAACACTAGTTGTGCAAAACAAAGATAGATTTTTAGTTTTAACCCAAATATAAGAGACTATTTTGGACTTTATCCCCATTCAACAAATTTCTTTTGTCCTTTTATTTTCTTTAGTTAGCTATAGAAAACATATACTTGTTCAATTTATGTGGTGATCTTTAATTGTTCATTTATATATATATATATATATATATATATATATATATATATTGAATAGCTATAATGTACTCAATATAACTTTAAATTTAAGTTCGAGAAGGTAGAATGTATGTGTACCTTATGAAGTAAGAACGCAAATAATGAAATTTTTAATCAAAAGACATAATATAAAGTTAGAACAATAAAACTTGACTCAAAACATTATAAAGTTTATATAATCATATTTAAATAGTTGCGCTGGATTTGATAAGTTAAAATAATAATATTGAAATAGTAATGATTTGTTGTAGTGCTTAATATTAAAATAAAACACATAAAAAAAAAATTGATCTTTGTATAAACACACAACAGCATATTTTTCATAATGCAAAATGTTTTACAGTTTGGTAGACTTTAGAATAAATAATAATGAGAAAATAAAAATGGAAAATGAATTAAAAAGGTAAATGTAAGGATAATAATGTGGGTTAATGATAATCATCAAAATATAAATAAGTCAACAAAATAAGTAGTCATGTAAGCAAGGATATCAATACTTAACTACACATTATTCTATTTCTCAATTATTTTAACAACATTCAAATTAAATAAAACAAACAATTACTATTATTTTTTTCTAACCAAAAAAATCTTTTCAAATTTATCAAAATATGATATAAAAATATGTCTTTTAAAAAAATTGGAGGCCCCAAAAGCATAGAAGTAGAACCTTTTGATGAGTTATGACTAGAATCACTTGATAGTAAAGAATGCGGATTAGAATGCCTTCGAATCTAGGGCTAATTGATGATTATGAGCTTCGAGAGTAAGGCTTTTAGTCAAAAATGCTGAATCACTAGGACTTTGAGAGTAAAGCTAGGGTGATGAATAGAAGTCTACTAGCTAGAATTGTGGTGAAATGTCTATACATACCTAACCTACCTTATGAATGCTTGAAAGTATAATGTGATAGAATCACTTAAACATGGATTGATTGTTAAGGACATCCTTCCATGAGACATGAGTATTAAGCAAGGCTTAGTAGTAAATCTTGGGGTGTATGCTTGGATCCAAGTGGATATTGACAATGAGATGGAGTGTCACACAAGATAGAGTTCGAGATTCAAGTAGACAGGAGAATCATACCTAATTGGTGTGAGGACTATCAAAGTTAAAGGAGGAACTCTTACGTAGTAGAGTGTGAGTTTTCTCAAAGTTATGTTTCATGAGATGGAAGACTTCACATAGTTGAGTTAAGGTTTATAGTAGCAATCTCCATATCCAATCAACTAAGACATGTTTAAAGAAGCATCTCATAGTGTTCTAAAGCATAATTGGACTAAGACTTACTTAATGAAGTACCTCATGGTGTTTAAGAGTATAAATGGACTTAGACATGCTTAAGGTAGTATCTAATAGGGTCCATGTTAATAATGAATCTAGACATGCTAAAAGAAGTATCACATAGGGTTCAACCTAATAATAAACTAACATGTGCTTAAGAGAGTACCTCCTAGTGTTCAAAAGTAAAAGACATGAACTAGGTTCCAAACAAAAAAGTATTAGTATTAATACCTAAAAGTAGTACTTAGCATGAATAGTATTATGGATGCTATTCATGCATTGCACAAGTATGAATTAGGGTTATTCAAAAAAAATATTTTTCTGAATGATGTATCTTGAGATAGGATTGTGCTATAGTTGCCTTCCGTTTTAGTAGTGACTAAAGGTGAGAGATTTCCTTGTCTATTTGAAGTAAGCTAATAATGAGATCAAAGGAGGGTAAGTATGACTAAGATGACTTTAATGTTATGCTTAGTGTGAAGGATAGTATGAGATGCCTTTTATGCATCGCAGAAGTATACTTTGAGGTTACGGAGGAGTATGGTGCCCTTGTGGTAGAAAAGATTAAAGACTTGACCATGCATATATACTATGATTAAGATGACCAAAAAGGAATACTTGGTCTGGGTGGTATTATGAGATGCTATTTATGCATTGCACATGCATGTTTTTAGGTTACTTGAGAGTAGTTTTATTATGGTATAAATGATTAAGAGTCAAATAATGTTTATGATGCTTATGTTGGAGACTTGCTTATTATGATGATATTGTCTCTTATGCTTATGGTTTATGTTTCATGAAGTTTTCATATGATTTTGGATTATGTCTTATATTGGCTAATCTCTGTCTTATGCTCTTATAATTATGCTAGCTAACATATTTAGTATATTTTGTACTAATGCATACCTTGCCTATATTCTCATCAAATGTAGAGTCGGAGATTGAGATCTACTCATGGGATAGATTTCTAGAAATTGCAGGGAGTTGAAGATCTGGGTAAGTCCTCATAGCTTCGAGGACAGAATCGACTAGTACCTTTATGTCTTTATATTTATGTTTTGAGACTATTGTACCCAAGAGTTTATTCTAAAGTTGTATTAGATTGTTTGAGACAAAGTATAGAAAGATTTTCGCTTGCTTTTATGAAAATGACTTTGTTAGTAAAAAGTTTTAATTTTTTGTACTTTTCTATTATCTTATGTTATGATATGCTAAGGGCTTATATGAGGCCCCTTCGGGGTCAAGTACGCCATGTTACACCTAGGGGTGTCCCTGGATCGTAACACTTATCCCACGATTAAAAATTATGACTAGGATAAGTTTTCTTTACTTATGGGTAGAATACTATTCCCGAGATAAAAATGTAAAATAACAAAAGTACCCACTTAAACCTTTTTTTTTATATAAATAAACAACTTTTTCTTAAAGGGTATTTTTATAAACAAACAACTTATTCTTAAAAATTATGACATGCATATTTGACAAACCAAATAAATAACCAATAAAAAATAATCTCAACATCACTAATCCCAACATAATTTGTCGCAATTTAGTAATACCCACGCATAATATTTTCAACTTCTCATAAAAATTCACTTCAAATATAATTCATAAAACTCGAGGTATATTTAACCATCACTTTACTATTATTAATTAAAATTTGTCATGATTAAATAAAATATCATATAGTTGTTATTGTCTTAATTTTTAGCTCTCAACGTGTTACAAATAAAAGTCAAATTACTTTTATGTTGTCACATGATACTCTAACGGGGTCTAAATTAGGACCATTGTAGTTAGGGGAATAAGGCTATGAGGTAATAATAATATAGGTGGATCAAAAATTTGAAAAATAATGCATATTAATTGAAAGATAGCACTCGATATTGATTCGTATGATAATTTTATTAGTCATAGAATTATAAAATTAATACTAACATATAAATATAAATTGAATATCAATTATGATTGTAGATGATAGTTATGATCTAAGTTAGGAAAAATTACATGAATTAATACATTTTAAAAAATAATTACTTATAATTGTTATTTGAATTATAATTGTTATTTGAAATATCTTATGTTTGTTTGCTAAAAAATTGACACATTGTATTGTAAATGTATTAAAATGTATGTGATAAATGTATTATCCACCATTAAAATTTGTATTATATGTGAATAATAAATTATTCTTTGTAATATATATTAAACTTATATTATAAATGAATTAAAAGTGATTAAGTGAAAAAAATATTATTACTATAAATGGTAAATATTTTTTTATTATAGTATATTTATGTAAAAAGCCTATTCTTAATGGGCTAATTTAAGTCATGTCTATACATTTTGATATAGGATGGTCAATGCACTAATTTTTGGGTGAATGAAGTTTCTTTTTATATTTTAAAAATATTTTTTAAGTATTTAAAAAATAGAGATTAGTTTCAAATATAAATAATAAAGTAATTAGTTTACCATAATATAGTCTTATTTTTTATTTGCATACAGATAGTCAAAAGCCCACATAAAGTATACATTAATTATATATTATGATACATTCAAAAAACTGAATATAGCTCATATATACAGATATACACTAATTATATAATATGATACACTCAAAAATAGACATAACTTAACTATACATGAGGTATACACTGATGATACGTGGAGTATATACTAACTATTCATCCCCACCTATTTAAAATTTCTTCTAAACAGTCTCAAATTTTAGATATATAATTCATTCAAAATAATTCAAGTGTATTGTATATTTTTGTTTGGGCCAAGGCTTTTGATAGGTTGATGGATTGAATCAAAGTTTATTTAAGCCTAAAATCTAGGAAAAATTATCGAAATACACGTATTATGTTTATCTTATTTTCAATATCCCTTTCTATTTTTAAAAAACTTTGAAATCTCTTATTTATTTAGTGTATCCGAGTTACATATTAATGTATATCAGCCAGTATTTAATGC